GCTACCAAACCGAATCTTTCATGGCGCCGACCCAAACAGAATTTAATTACAGAGCGAGATNTTGTCTAGAGGTACTGAGATTTTTCTCATTTGAACAAGATATGTTGAGACTGAATTCATATGACAAATTGCACTGTGCAGACTGTTACTGTGTATTTAGGTTTACTTACAGCTCATCCCATTGTTTTGGCCATGCATTGTCAACAGTGGGAGTACTTCTGTCATATGTTAATTTAACATTGTTCAGGAGTACAAAACAGTGTTTATGCATTAAATATCATGAGAAGACTGGAAAGATGGTGAACCTAACTTATCAAATGATGTATATAATATTTGGAATGAAGCACAGACTCAGGGTTGACTTTCTTCCTGGTTCCAAAATGTTTAAAAGAAATGTCCATTCAAAAGTGACAAGTGTTGTGGATGCCTTTCAGCCAGTAGAAATGATGAATTGGTAGCTTACATGCATGATTTAGTATGAATCCACAGATGATTGCCTCAAAAAATGACTGAAAATGAATTTATTATGACTCATGTTCAGTTATTTTAATCGAAAATTTGAGATGGAGGCATGCCTGAGCCAAGTTTATGCCATGACTGTTGACACAGAAGCTGAAATGAACCACTTGTCTTTGGCTTCTTATTTCAATGCAAATCTGCATTAAAAATTCATAAAACGATATAAAGTTTTAGGACCGTGGAAGTGCTTCCATGTGTTCGATACAGGCAAATAATGGCTTCATTCCCATATAAAAATTAGATAAACTTGGAACTCTGAATCTGTTAATATAGACCATGACTGCTGCCTCCCAGCCTTCACAGAATCTCATTTGACATTACACAGCCCAGCTGTTTGTACAGTGTCGTGCAGTAACAGTCAGTTATCTTCTGCAAGTAATGGAACATCCTTTCTGGAAAATTATCATGTAGCATAGGATTCAGTAATTACTGCTGCCTGGTCATAGACCCTTTCTCTGCTTCAGGCTGTCCACTGGCTTCTTCGAGCAAATGTTTCAGGAACTGCAAAGTTTGAACCATGGTACTTGCATGTTGGCCTATGCTGTGCTGATGAGATCCTTCGGGAGCCAAACTTAGGGGAAGTTATTGGTCAAGCTAATCATGCATCATGGATGGCTTCAGCTGTTGGTGCACTTAATGAAGTTGTCATGTTTCTAGTAGAGGGAGAATCACTGCCTGCTCTCACAGCATCAGGTAACAGCTGTGCCTTATTGAGACCCAAGCATCTTTTTGTAACTAATTAATTAACTAACAAGTAGTTCTGTGAACAGAGTCATTCATGTGGAGCCAATGTTCATTCAGTTGAACAAGAAATACCTTCTACAGAACCTGGAAGTTCGTTACGGTATTCACAAGAAGTTGATTTTTCATCTTCAAGGAATGCATCCTGTTGTGTTAACTTACACCAATTGTGTGTTTTATCTGTCACAACACTCAAAGGTTTGTTCACATCTACTGTGTGCAACAAGTTTATTGATCTCGATAGTGTCCTGCTACATGTTTCAGCTTATGGGAACTATCATCAGGCAGGTATACATTACTAGCTATACTAGCAACTCAGTAGTTCAAGAATAGCTAGTAGTATATACCTGCCTGATGATGACTCCCATAAGTCAAAACATGTAGCAGGACACTGTCAAGATCAAGCAACTCATTGTACACAGTTGACATGAACAAACCTTTGAGTGTTATGTTCACACTTGGTATAGGTAATGATTGCTTCCTAACATATCCCTACCTCTCATTCACAGTCATCTTCCCATCTTATCTGAAGCTTCTGTAGCTCCTATGAATTACAGTAAAATAATTTCTGTACATAAATAGATAATGACACTGTTCTTACACAAATAAATAAAAATCAGTATATCAGATTAATTTTTGAAGTAATTAGTGACGTGACATAAACACTGAAAGAACTTCCAGTCGAGAATCAAAGCAGCTATGGTACCACAGGGGCGGTTTGGGTGTGTGTTCATTGTGTGACATTGCTTGCCATCATAATGGTGATATGTTCACATTTCTGGTGGAGAGAAAATTTTGAATATAAACTGTTGTTTTAACCAGAATTGCATTAAATTGACGTACGGGTTGTGGAAGTTTAAAATTTCTTGCACTGAATGCAGGTTACTTACTAAATAAAAAATTGTTAATCACGTGGAAATAACACTTTGTTTATGCTTGTCTTTTCTGCTGTGACCAGAGAAAAATATGTTATAGATATGGGATTTTACTAAATAAGGATTATACCATGTTATTGATATATCTGTGGCATGTATAAAGTATATACTCGTTATAAGTTATCACATTCCTATGTTGTTTTCATTAGGGTTGAGTGCAGCCCTGAATGATCCTGAAACTGTATGTGCAACCCACGCATGTCATTAGCTGGCAGTGTTAGTCCTTTGGCTTGAGAAAACAAGACAAAAAATGAACAACATTCCCAAGTTTCTTGCCAACCCTGTCAAGTGAGTATGTTTTGCTGTGAAGGTAATAGTGTCCTTATAGCTAAGCTGTGTGCATCATTCATCAAGTACCATGGTGTAGTAGCTAGCTGACCTCCTATTTCACATTTGGGAGATCATGGATTCAAGTCTAAGCCCAAAAACAAGGTATTTTGTGGTTTTCCTTAGTCCCATAAGACTAATTTTGGCCATTATCTTAAAGTAGACCATAACTGCTTCTTTCTAGCTTAGTCTGTGTAGTGAACAGGCTACAGTCTGGACAACTGAGGGTTCAAGGTTCTATTCCTGGCAAGGGCAAAATTTTTCCTCTTCTTAAGAATGTCTAGACCAGTTCTGCGGCCATAGAACCATAGATTCAGGCATTCATTCAACAGCTCATCCTATTTTAGAGTTGCTATGTTCTTGTTGTTCAACTACATAAAATATTTTGCTCTAATATAATATTGAGTCTCTTCCTTTTTGCACTCATAGCGATTTTATCTGAAGGAATCTTCCTTTTGTCCATTTTCTTAAGGGAACTTCTTAAAACGATTAAAACGAATCATGAAAATTAACATATATCATGGCAGATAGCAGCACATGCAGATAGTCAAGTGAAGACTGAAGTAGCAGCATCTAAAACCCTAACAGTAACCTCAATTGTGCATGTGCTAGTCTCGCATTAACTGGATTTTGGTTCACATTAAACACAAGTTGATATTGTTGTATTGAGCCACCTGCTGAAGCTGGTGTCTTGCTCACGGATGTCTCTACCCTGAAGATGGAGGTGATATGTTCCTCCAAAACGTCGGTTCGCACAAGATCTACACGGCACTACATCCCAGAAACTGGAATTCTTCACTTATCAGAAACTTTCTTACTTTCTGGTGCCATAGCTTTGATTCACTGATTATTTTTTATTTTATGGCTTAGCAGCAAGAATGGTGGCATTCACAGCAGTAGAGACATTTACAGATAAATGTTATTCTTTCATATAAAGGTAATTTTATTGTTTCATATGTTTCTGAAGTCAGGATAAACTTCTAAAAATTAATCATAAGTCCTCTAGTAGTTTCAGTCATGTTGAAGCATATGACATAGTTAACTCCTCTCAGAATTGTCAAATTTATCAAGACCCCATAAAACATTTACAGTCAGTCTCCATGTACTTGTTATCAAAATCTTCGTACAGCTGAGAATGTCTGTAGCCGTGAAGTGCCTAAATGAGTTCCTTCAAATATATACTGCAGTCACTGTATGAATGCTGTTGGAATTTAAAAATATGGTTGGGCACAATTAATCAAAAGTGAATAGTTTCATATTTTAATTGCTATTGGCTGAAAATGGTATTTTTTAAAAATTGAGTGTAAGAGACCAGATGGAAGTAGAGCAGTGTTAGATATGCTGAATACCTCAGACAGTGACATGATAAGTGGCACGTGTGCTGTGTACATTAGATGATGTTGAAGAGTTCAAAGCAGCATGCTGGTTTTATGGAGGAACATGGTACATTTCATAATATATTGCAGCATCCTGTCATACTGTGTTGCACCTAGACAAGTGGAACACAAAGTCAGATGGTACATTTGCCATGCTTCTAATGTAATTGACTGCCTCATGACTATACAGGGTGGGCCAGACTCAATTAGGCAGTTTTTGATCATTAATAACTAACCAATCCAACAACACACGGGATAATGGGAAAGTACGTTTTGTTGTCGATAGATGGCAGCATCATACGGTATGCTGTGAACGAGGTCAATACTCTGCCTACTTAGTGCGAATCGAGGAAACGTCATGGCCGGTAGACGGTTGTCTATCGAGTAGCGTGTAAAATGTGTGCGCCTTTTCTCAGTTACTAACAATGTATCAGAAGTCCAGCACAGGATGTTGAGAGAGTTTGGACCGCCAGCAGTCCACAGGGACACAAACGTCCAAATAAACAAGCACTTTGATGAAACTGCCAGTGCTTTGAATCCCAAGCATCCTGGTCAGCCGAGAACTGTCCGAACTGCTGACACACAAGCACGTGTTGCTGCGGAACTGGCATCATCTCCTCAGAAATCGAAGTCTACCCGCTGTTTGTCGGCCCTACTGGACATTTCGAGGACAAGTTTGCGGAGAGTTTTGAGTGACATGAAGCTGACCCCATACCATCCACGGCTTATTCATGTTCTTAATGAGGACGACTTCGACAGGCGACTTGAGTTCACCGAGTTGATGCTGACCAAGTTTCAGGAGAACCCTGACCTTATCCAGAATATTGTCTGGACTGATGAGGCCAAATTTCACACATCAGGATCGGTCAACAAACATAACTGCGTGTTTTGGCAGTCAGAGAACCCCAGTGCCACCATTGAATACGATTTCCAGTCCCCGGGAGTGATGGTGTGGGGCAGCGTGACGTACGAAGGACTGATTGGCCCGTTCTTCCTTGAAGGTAGCGTCACAGGGGAACCTACCTAAAGTTGCTGATGGAAAGTGTCATCCCAGAACTTCAGAGGAGAGAGAACTTTGATGAACTGTGGTGGCAGCAAGATGGGGCCCCACCACACTTCGCCAATATTGTTCGGGTGTTCTTGCGTCAAGTTTTTCCTCAACGTTGGATTGACCGTCGAGGGCCTGTGGAGTGGCCAGCCCAATCACCCGATATCACCCCACCAGACTTTTTCCTTTGGGGTTACCTCAAAGACAAGGTGTACGCTAATCCCATTGACAGTGTGAAACATCTGCGTGAGGTGATTGTTCAGGAGTTCAATAAATTTCTGGTGAATATGTGTAGAAAAGCATGTGAAAATGTTGCTTTGCGTCTGCAAGCCTGTGTTGACTTAGGTGGTGCAAAGGTTGACCAGCATCTTGAAAATTGATGACTTATGTGTGTGCGATTCAATTTTTGTTACCATTGCAATTCAAGACATTTATCAATAAAAATAACATCTAATCAAATACTGCCTAATTGAGTCTGGCCCATCCTGTACATTGACAGTATGTATGGAAAATAATACCTTTCAGTTTAAGAAGTACAATTTCCTTCTCTGTCTTTTCATTCATTCTTTCTTTCTTTCTTTCTTTTTTCAGGAGTCTTATTGTGGGCTTATCACGTTTGCCATTGGCAAACTCCTATGTTGCAACACAGCCTGATGTATGGCAACAAGGTTGGGCACCTGTGTTGAGTGGTCCATCACACACTTTTGTACCACCTCTTCCAATAGATTACCTTCAAGACATTGATGTGCTACGACAACTTATATTCAGGTATGATAACGGTTTATAACACAAATTGTGTTACAGAATTTTTGTTCATACAGTAAAGGTTATACAGACAAGGTTAGTTGGGTCAATGAATTGATTTCCCATGGGCAAGATGACTGATGTTCAGTTTCTGGCAGGGGGAATTTTTCTTTTTGCCACTATGCCTAAACTACATAGTCCTGGGGGCCCATCCAGATTCCTGTACATTGGGTAAGCTCCTACAGTGGGCTTTCTGTCCATGGTGCCCACTTAGGCTCTTATCCAGTGGGTGCTGTAAGTCACAGTTTGATCACCATAAGCATAGTTCCTTAAGAAACACTGGCATGGGTCTCTAATAAGTCAGTGTTTCTTTTATATTTCCTGCATCTCCATAGATACATAT